GCCAAAGGCAGGCGCCAAACCGCTGAGCCACCGAGGGATCCCTCTTCCATCCATTTCTGATCGTAGTCTTTCACATTCTCTTTGTGTTTCCTACCACTGCAGTGTGTCTTTCTCACAGATGGAGAGTCATGGGTGAGGTATGTGTCGTAGTAGTCATAATAAACTTAGGCATGTTGCTCTGTTGGCCATTGGCCACTCCATCCTGTGCCGCCCGGAAATGACTAGAAAACTTATTTTTGTTTTCTTTTGTTCTTATCATGACTAGGTATAGAATTAAATACTTTTTTGTATTTATTGAAATGCTATTTTAATGAATTACATTAGATTTTGTAATGTGAAATTATTGGGTGAATCCAACTTTGCTATGAGATTTTATTTTTTGTAATATATTGCTATTCAGGTTAATATTTTTAAAAGGATTTTTGCATTTATGTATATTGATAATGGCCTGTAATTTTATAATTTTTCTGTCCTTACCTCCCTTTATTTACTTTTTATTTTAAAGGTATTATTTATTTATTCACGAGACACACACACAGAGAGAGAGAGAGAGGCAGAGACACAGGCAGAGGGAGAAGCAGGCCCCATGCAGGGAGCCCCACATGGGACTCAATCCTGGGTCTCCAGGCTAAAGGCAGTGCTAAACCGCTGAGCCACCCGGGCTGCCACCTTTATTTACTTTTGATTTGGAAATTACACTAGTCTTAGTTAATTAGTTGGTGGAGGTGGGGGAGGTTTCTGATCTTGTGGAGAATGTGTATATGATTGAAGTTGGTGCCAGTTTTTTTTTTTACGATATTTTTAAATGCTAGTTCAATTTTAAAAACAGTTATAGGCTTATTTATAGCTGTTCTATTTTTGTTCAAAGTGTATTAATTATGTCAATTTGTAATGAATGTTTTACTGTCTCTTCAGCTGCAAATATTTTGAGAGCATGAAAATAATGGAAAATATACAAGAATTACTTCTCAAAGTTTTATTTTACATTTTATTTTATGTCCCTTATCAGGTACTCAAAAGTGTGACAACTTTGCTGAAAAAAGGCCCCTCCTTGGTGTTTGTAAGAGCACTGGATCTTCTGGGTAAGGAAATTAAATATGTCTTTGAACCACTATTAAAAATTTGTATTGTTATTTCAGAGGGTGAATTTTGGTATCTTAAAATCTTTGTTACCATAAGACAATGCTCTTACAAGAGAGAAGATAAAGGATTTAAAAACATATTTAGGGTTTCCTGTGGCTGTGGCCTTGTTATTTCTCTGTTTACTGCTTTCTCATATGCAGGGTAGTAGCAGAGACAAAAGAAAACAAGCAGTAGATCAGAACTCAGTCTTGAAAGATTAGCATTATTAAGAAAGGTATTTTTTAGTTTACATGTTATTATAGTAACTTTTATGATGGTTTTCTACAGTAGAGACTAGATTAAAATCTGGGGAGCCTTGAATCTGTTTTGAGTGTTGAATGTGCTACCCTACCACCACACAGATCCTTTTGGAAAGGATGACAGAATTTATTATTTGAGTAAATTCTCTGTTGAATCATTGACTAACCATTAAGCTACATAGACATAGGGCAACCCCCAGGAAACCAGGCTTTAAAATAACAAGTTAAAGAAAAGTAAAACTGAGCAGAGCCATTAGTAACTGCACGTTGTAGAGGAAGACAGATTTCAGAGTTCTTATGCCATATTATATTTATATAATTTTAATGTCAAGTTTTCAACATAAAATTATGACACATTCCAAAAAACAAGAAAATGTGGCACATAGAGAAGAAAGAGGAGGCAATAGAAACTGTTTTGATAGTCTCTGGATATTAAATTTTACGGACAAGGATTTTAAAATATGTCTTAAGAAGTAGATGAGTCGTGTTTCTAAAATTAAAGTGTGATAACAATGGCTTAACAAATGGAGGACCTCAGTAAGGAGTTGGAAATAATAGAAAACCTAATGGAAATTCTAGAGTTGAAAAGATGCAAAATGTGAAATGATAAAAGTAAAGTGATAATATCACTTGAGGGGCTCAATACCATGGCCAAGCCAGCATGAGAGTTAGGGAACTGATGTGTTGACAGAGGTGCTGAACAAGAAGGGAGCCAGAAGGAGGATAACCTGCTATGGTAAAGGGAAATTTTGTTGACTTCAGTATTCCTGATGTTCAACCTTCTGTAATTCAAGTGTGTGTAGACCTGTGGAAACCCCATGAAAAGATATGTGAGTGGTAGGCATTCACCTACTTGCTGAGTTGGGTTTGCAGTGTTTGAAAGGTTTTCCATTCCTTATCAACCTTGCTAACTGTATAAGTAAGGGGATTGTTTTTGTTTTTACAAGATTCATTTATTGAGGTATTTCCTTATAAAAAGGTAAAAAGGAAGGGTAGGGTGATTATATGTAGTTCATGATGAGATCATTTATTGAGGGATGAATTTAAGGTTTGGGGTCATATTCATCAAGATTCTCCAGAGAAAATCAGTATGATGCGGGATATTTATGTGTATAGGTGTATGGAGAGAAAGAGAGAGAGAGAGAGAGGTGTTGAGATTGAGTTTTAAGAAATTGGCTCACATGACTGAACACTGGCAAGTCCAAAATCTAGACACTGAGGGAAGAGTTGCAATTATTACCCAAAGATGGAATTCTCTCCTCCTCCAAGGAGGTCAGTTTTTTTTCCTGTTAAGGCTTTCAACTGATTGAATGAAGTACACTCACATTATGAAGCTTAATCTGCTTAACTCAAACTTTACTGATTTAAATATTAATCTTATGTAGAAGCTACTTTCTCGGAAACATCTAGAATAACATTTGACCAAATCTGGTTATTGTGGCCTAGCCCTATTGACATATAAAATTAGTCACCACACAGGGGCAATGAATTTAGTCCTAATTAAAATAGTATTTGCCTATTTAAAATAAAGGTCTATTGTAGATATTTATTTTCTCCTCATTTCTGCTTCTTAAATTATTTCATAGTAGAGAAATCATTCTAGTAAGAGACTTCTATATGTTGGTATCATTTACTGGATTGTTTTAAGACTGGTTATTGATGAATAAATGCAAAGATACTTTTGAATTAATAAGTTCATAAGTCATTTCGTGGACTGTAACTTCTAGCATGATGTGTCCTGTTATTGATATAAGCTCTCTCTTGCTGCATGCTCTTTTTTCTCTTTTGTTTTATATCTTTCTTTCTAACAGAAGATGATGGCAGGAAATACTCATTTTGTTTTCACCTATTTATTGGCTAATCTGATTACCATAAACAATTGTTGTGTGTAGCATTTTTGTCAGAATGTTTGTAGTTTGAAGAAGGACATTTTCATGTAGGATTGTGTTACATTTCTTTTTTTAAATTTTTAAAAAAATTTTATTTATTTATTCATGAGAGAGACAGAGAGAGAGGCAGAGACATAAGCAGAGAGAGAAGCAGGCTCCATGCAGGGAGCCTGATGTGCGAATCAATCCTGGGACTCCAGGATTACGCCCTGGGCCGAAGGCTGGCGCTCAACCACTGAGCCACCCGGGCGTCCCTGTGTTACATTTCTTGCAAGTTCACGATTGCTGGTGAAAAGAATTTTCTCTAATCTGAGCTAGTGCTTTGTGAATATGAATGTATGTATTTTAAGAGTTATACTAAGTGGGCAGTAGGTTACCAGTTGGTGATGTTGAATAGACTAGACACTTTTTTAATAATTCCAAAGTTGAATATAATAACAGAGAAATCTAGTTATAGGTTAGTTCTTTTAGATCTGTTTCCCAGATTCTGGGATTTTTTAAAAAAAGTTATAACCTGAATTTTTTTATGAGGCATATGCTTGTTGACTGTGCTAATATAGCACTGGGGAATGGAAAGCAAATGTTGAATGCCTACTATGTATCATGTCTGTGAAATATTTTCCATTATGTAACATCATTTAATTTTAAAAACAAGCCCCTGAGGGAGATTGTATTATCCTCATTATATCTGAAGAAACTGAAACTGAATGAGGTTCAATCACAGTTAGTTGTGGACACAGGCCTTTGCCCATTTGCCAGGTCTGTACATGGAACAGCCTTTGCATTCAGGGTGCTCTAATATCTTGTTCACATATTAAACTTACTTTTCTGTTTTATGACCATTGTCTTTAGTGTTAATAGAGAACTATTTTAAAATTGAGCAAATAAGTTGTATTTACACACTTATTTATGTATTTTTAAAAAGATTTTATTTATTCATGGGAGACACAGAGAGAGAGAGAGGAGAAAGAGAGAGAGACAGACAGGCAGAGGCCGAGGCTGAGGGAGAAGCAGGTTCCATACAAGGAGCCCAATGTGGGACCTGATCTCCAGACTCCAGGGCGGAAGGCAGTCGCTCAACTGCTGAGCCACCCAGGCATCCCCTTACACGCTTATTTAAACAGTAACTTCTTAGGAGACTTTTTGTTATGTGCATATTTTGGTCTCAGCATTTCTGTAGAAGTGGAATATACTTTTGTTGTTGATTTTACTTTTATGGTTTTAAACAGTGTGATGCATACTGTTACTCAGCTACTCAGTTGGGATTTTTCAGAGTGTAAAGGGACCTCCCTGATTTGTTTTTTTCTTTGTTTTAACACATTTGTTTATAGTAAATGCAAAGAGAATCTCCTTTGCATGATAGCAGTGATATACAAAGGACATGGACATTGGAAATAGAAGTAGCTAATTTAAGAAACACTTAAATTGGGGATCCCTGGGTGGCTCAGTGGTTTACCGCCTGCCTTTGGCCCAGGGCGTGATCCTGGAGTCCCGGGATCAAGTCCCACCTCAGGCTCCCAGCATAGAGCCTGCTTCTCCCTCCTCCTGTGTCTCTGCCTCTCTCTCTCTCTCTCTCTCTCTCTCTGTCTATCATAAATAAATAAATCTTAAAAAAAAACACTTAAATTGTTTTTGTTGTTTTTATTATGCACCACATTATTGCAATAACCTTCTAGAAAGGGTAGAGGAGCATAAATGCGTTATTTTGTATCAGTCAAGAAAATGCTTTTTAATCAATGTTCTCTAAGCCCTTTGACACATAGTAATGATTAACTCCAGAGAGGCCCTATCTCTTTCTATCAAACTCTACGAGTAGGAATAATGGGCAACCCATTTCTTCTTGTCTCTGTCAGTGAACCTATAGATATGTGCAGTGGCTGTTCTGGGAATGAACAAGCACACAGTCATGACACCCATCTTGGTCAGAATCTTGAACCATACTGTGCTGCGGTTGCCAAGGTTAAGAAACCCTCTTACTTAATGAAGTGCAATGCCAACTTTTGCTGAGAACAAAGTAATTTCAAGATAGGACAGGTTCCCTACTAATATTCAAATAAATATCTGTTATCAACTTAAATTCACCTTGAAAAAGACAACGTAAGTTTAACAGCTAAATAATAATAAAGTCTTGATTTAAAAATGAAGGACTAGGGACACCTGGGTGGCTCAGCGGTTGAGCACCTGCCTTCGGCCCATGGTGTGATCCTGGAGACTCAGGATTGAGTCCCACATTGGGCTCCCTGCATGGAGCCTGCTTCTCCCTCTGCCTGTGTCTCTGCCTCTCTCTGTGTGTCTCCCATGAATAAATAAATAAAATCTTTAAAAAAAATAAAAATTAAGGACTAGTCATCAAATATAATAGTTCACATTATTAATTTTTAGCAGCTTTGTTGCAGACTGCCAAAGAGCCATCTTGGATTGGCTGAATTCCATGGGACTGATATTTAGGTGGAGGTCAAGCACAGTTTCAGTGTCCTGAGGTGTTACTGATGAGACTTTATTTCAAGTTGTGTATAAAATAGATAAAAGTTTTGTTAATTAAAACTAGAAGTGAGATTGCTTGGGACAATAGGTATGCCATGTTTCTTTTTGTCATGCAGTGTCATGGATGATGTTGTATATGATACCATGTATTTTGAGCTTTGACTAATTTTCATCCTGTTGTATTCATGAGGTCTGATGAAATCACGTTTTGGGCTGGTATTACTTCTCCAGACGCAAACGAGATTTATGTTATTCTTCCAGTCTTTGGTGCTTTAATACATGGGCTTTCCAAACAGTTCCTTGGCCTTCTTTCAAGGACCAAGTCTTTCACTTGCCCATCTCTGGTATTTTTTCACTCTTGTGGGTGTTCTGCATTTTCTTCTGGCACTCTGCATGGTTCTGTGGCTCTCTTTATTGCCTTCAAAGAGTGGGCTTTTACATCTTTGACATACATACCATTTATCAGAGCTGCCACATTGGCATAGAGGTTTTTAATGCAATGGATCAGCATAATAGGGTATTCAAAATCATGGATTATCCACGGGCCTCTGGACTTTCATATTATCTAGAGTACACCCTGTTTATCTGATTTTGGGTATAATGAAATCTTAAAAAAATAAAATGACATTACTATTACTACTTAAGTACTTTTTCTTATGTGGCTTAGAGATATACTTTATATACCTTGAAGTGTTACACTGCCTTTAGTAACAAAAGTCACTAACAGGAATGTTAATTATGCAACATTTACCAGATTGATTTACTCACTTAAAACAAATTTTTAATTTGTCTATGGGGGAAGGCAGAGAGCCAGAATATTACACACTTGAGTCACACTTACAAAGTTTCAAAACACATGCTGGATAGATCTGTAACCTGAGACATATATTATGTAATATTTTAACCATGGGAAGTTTTTAAAATGTGTTTATGTAAAAAAATATCTGAACTATGTACACTCCTAAGGTTATATTTATAGGCATAGCTGTATATTTCCTTGTGATCCTGGAATTGGTACAAATTTCAAATAGCCCACCAAAATGGTTGTATGTATATGACCAAACCAAAGGAATGTTTGCTTAAGAACTTCCTTACTTGCTATTAGATGCTGTATGTATCCCTGAAAACATATTTGTTAGGATCCTGGCTAGAAACAGGTAAATACTCAAATTAATTTGAGGAAAGTTAAAGTGAAATGTGGGGAACTGAGACCTTTACAATTTCTAGGCAAGGGGAGAGAGCCATTAGCAGAACCTGCAAAGGGAGCCTGATCAAGAGGGTCACATACAGAAACTCTGGTGGAAGGATTTGGCTTACCTGTAATAATCTGATAGCAGAGCAGTCAGGAGTATTCCAACCATACTCTATTTCTCTAGATGGCTCCTTCAGGCTGAACCCAGCCAGAAGCCAAAGGCTATGTTCTGAAGGTTCAGAGAGCCAATTGAAGCAATCCATATGGTTTGGGCCAGTCTCCTAAAAGGCAGAGAGCAAGGAGCAGACAATACAGAGTGTATTTGGAGGAGCAGCATACCTCTGTTCAGTAGAATTTCACATAAAACAGAGTTTATGGGGAAAACAAATATGGAAGAAATTTATGATGTGTTGTAATCAGAGCAATAATCCTGATTAAAAGTTAGGACTTAAAAAAAAGATTTTTATTTATTTCAGAGACAGAGAGATAGCACAAACATGAGCTGGGGTGGGGGAGGCAGAGAGAGAAAAAGATTCCGCTTTGAGAGGGAGCCTAATACAGGGCTTGATCCCAGACCCTGGGATCATGACCTGAGCTGAAGACAGACACTTAACTAACTGAGCCACCAGGTACCCCAGAAATTAGGTCTTTTAAAAAGAATTGTTAATACTAAAAAAAAAAAAATTGCTAGTAAATAAAGGATTTTACCTAAAAAGGAAGGTGAAGGTACTTTGTTGGAATGGGGGTGTAAGGAAGAGTTGAGAAAGTTGTTAGGGAGAAAAGAGCAAAATGGACAAAGACCATATAGAAACAAGTTCTAGGTACATCGTAGCCTGAGCACATCGTCAAACTAAGCCACAAAGAACTTGATTCCTCCTGGTTTTCTGCATTCAGTTGAGCTAGTGTACTTTGTATTCAATTGCTGTTATGTTTTAGCACAAAAAATTAAAATGCTGTCAATTTTATTGACACAGCTTCCTTGATATACTGACATTACTCCACATTTAGAATCACAAATTGTAGCAAAAAAACCTGTGTACACACTTTTAATGACTTTATTGAAGTGTAATTGACATAAAATAAACGATATTTAAAGTGTACGATTTTATATTTGACATATGTATACACCTATGAAACTATCACCACAAACAAGATAAGGAACATATTTATCACTTCCAAAAGATCCCTTGAGTCCCTTCCCTACCAGCTCCTTTTCCTCAGATGACTACTGATCTACTTTCTATCACAATAGGTTAGTTTGCATTTTCTAGAGTTTTATATAGATGGAATCATACAGCATCTTTGGTCAGGCTTCTGTTATATTGCATATTTCTTTTGAGATTTATCCATGTCGTTGCATTTATGAATAGTTCATTCATTTTGTTCATTTTTATTGCTGACTAGTATCATATCATGAATATTGATTATCCACTCACCTGTTGGATATTTCAGTTGTTTCTAGGTTTTGGCTTTTACAAATAGTGCTGGTATGTACATAATTTTAAAGTATTTGTATAAACATATACTTTTTTTTCTTTTGGACCAATACTCAATACCTATGAGTAGAGTGGCTGAATCATATGGTAGGAGTATGTTTTTCAAAGTGGTTGTCCTATTTTTACAATCCTACCAGCAGTGTATGAGATTTTGAGTTCTGCTTCCTTACCAACATTTGGTTTTATTGTCTTTTTATTTTTAGACACTCCAGGAAATTTGGCTATTCTAAGTTACTTCTAAGACTAAGTAGGGAAAGGGGCAGAGGGAGAGAGAGACATAGAATCTCAAGCAGACTACACAATGAGTATGGAGTTTAATGCGGGGCTTGATCTCAGGATCCTGAGATCATGACCTAAGCTGAAATCAAGAGTTGGATGCTTACACACTGAGCCACTCAGGTGCCCCAGCACATTAACAATTTTAAAAAAATTCTCAATTTTCTTTTTTTTTTAAATTTATTTATTTATGATAGTCACAGAGAGAGAGAGAGGGGCAGAGACACAGGCAGAGGGAGAAGCAGGCTCCATGCACCGGGAGCCCGATGTGGGATTCGATCCCGGGTCTCCAGGATCGTGCCCCGGGCCAAAGGCAGGCACCAAACCACTGCGCCAACCAGGGATCCTCAAATTCTCAATTTTCAATTTAGTTAACTCTTCTTTCATATCTTATTATTTGACCATTCTGAATTTGTGACTTACTGATTTATAGTGTTGTTTCAAATCTGTAATTGCTTATCCTGTTGTACAAATACAAAAATTTGTATCACAAATCTGTAATTGCAAAATAAACATTATTGTATTGTAAGCAATAAGCAGTATTGACTTACTATATATAATGGTTCTTGAAAAGCCATACGTTACACCTTTCTTTTTCTTCTTGGTATAGTGGAACTTTCACACAACACATAGTAATTAAATATAAATTAAGAGTAATATTTTTTTAGAGATTTATTTATTTATTTATTCATGAGAGACATAGAGAGGCAGAGACTTAGGGAAAGGGAGAAGCAGGCTCCCGCAGGGAGCCTGATGTGGGACTCGATCCCAGGACCCTGGGACTATAACCTGAGCTAAAAGCAGAGGCTCAACCACTGAGCCACCCAATGCTCCAAGTGTAATATTTGTAAATGTGGTTTCAAGTGAAGCTACCACTGTAGCTTAATCAAAACAATAGTTTCTAGTCAGAATATTGTATCAAATAACTTTGAAACATACACTACTTACAATTATTACAGTAATGTCTTTCATTGAATGGAACTTCCAGTCACATCTCTCAATGTTCTTGTGTAGGGCCTTCCTACTTGAATCTTTTTTTTTTCTTTCCATTCAAGCTTTTATTTAAATTCCAGTTAGCTCACATATAGTATAGTATTAGCTTCAAGGGTGGAGCTTAGTGATTCATCAGTTGCTCATTACATCACCCAGTGCTTATTACATCAATGCCCATCATCCAGTTACCTCACCCCCCCACCTCCTCTCCAGCAACCCTCAGTTTGTTCCCTGTATTTAAGAGTCTCTTATGGTTTTCCTTCCTCTCTGCCTTTATCTTATTTGATTTTTCCTTCCCTTCCCCTATGTTCATCTGTTTTGTTTCTTAAAATCCACATACGAGTGAAATCATATGGCATTTGCCTTTCTCTGAGGGACTTACTTCATTTAGCGTAATATGCTCTCATTCCATCCATCTCATTGCAAATGGCATTCTTTTCACTTGAATATAAGCTTGTTTGTGGGACTTGCGTTAATTACTCTATTAGGAAACATACCACAATCACATGCCTGATAGATATTCATCTTCTGGGTCCCCTATGTTAAGTCACCATCAGCAACATTATATGAGGGCGAAAGTCCACATAGAAAGAGATGCTTAACCATCCTCACTTTCTCAACTGAGTCCAACATGCAGCCAATTCAGAAGGTGGAATATGAGCCCAGGAAAGAATGGCAAAACCACCACCTACCCAATCCACAGAATCATGGGAAATAAAGCAGTTATTGGTCAAAAGCATTATGATTTCTGGTGGTTTGTCAGACAGCCATAGACATGAACCATATTAAACATCTATGTATATCCCTAGTGAGAAGGATGATGTGATAGCACCTTCTTAACTTTTGTCTGTTTACAGTCACTGCTTCCATATGTTTGAGTATAATATTTCCTTCCTTCCTTCCTTCCTTCCTTCCTTCCTTCCTTCCTTCCTTCCTTCCTTCCTCCCCCCCCCCCTCTTTTTTTCTTTCCTTAAATAGAATTTATGGTGGCGACAACTATGTATGTGTGAGATCTACCTGTTTGGGCCAGCTGGGCTCGCATAGTTGGCTTAATAAACACATCCCTGGGGCCTATTCTCTGCGGCTGGAAGTGCTAACACTGGCGGTTCAGTGTAGATTCCGGTTCCCAGTTTCATGGTGCCCTTGGCTGCGTTCTTTTCAGTTTGGCCTCCATTTTCCACCGATGTTTCTTACACCGCTTCCAGGTCAGCTCAGCCTTTGCTTGCCGGCTCTCAGACTCCAGATCCTCCCAGTTGTCATTGCCCCATAGGTTTCAGTATTAGCTGGGCACCAGTCTCCTGTGGTGCCAGCACTGTTGTCACTAGGTTCTAGGCCACCCCAGTTATACTCACTGTTTAGACATGTGCTCTCAGCAGGTGACTCTGGGGGACTTGGTTCCTGCCAGCCATGCTGGTGTGGAAGCACTCTTGATTTTAGCTTTTATTTTGTCCTCCTCAGTTTTTCTGTGCTGTAATTTTATTTTAATGTGTGATTTGAGAGCAAGGGATTTGTGAATCTAAAAAGGTTGAAAAATTGGTTAGGAGAATGGTGTAGATAAAAGAGAAGCACAGGAAAAACTTAAACCATTAAGCAAAAGATGGTTTTTCTTGCAAAAAGGATTAAAAATGGAAATAGAATTTTTAAAAGGGTATTATTTTTAAAAAGATTTTATTTATTTATTTATTCATGAGAGACACACAGAGAGAGGCAGAGACATAGGCAGAGGAAGAAGCAGACTCTCCCTGGAGAGCCTGATGTGGGACTTGATCCCAGGACCCTGGGATCACTTCCTGAGCCAAAGGCAGATGCTCAACCACTGAGCCACCCAGGTGCCCCCTAAAAGGGGTATTTTCTTGAGAGTTAGCTAATGAAAGACTTGGCTATATATTCTAAGATATTACATCATGCCATGAGAAGTAGTCCTGATAACTTGAGAAACAAAATGTATGTGATATATTAAATGGAGACAAACTGTGGGAAGTCAGTCAGTCAAGCTTCCACTTTGGGTTGTGTTTTTTTTTTTTTTTCTTAACAGATTCCTCTTTTATGGCTATGTCAAGCTTTAAAAAATTTTTTAGTATCATTATATGAGGAAAAAGATAATTCTCACCAAACATACCTGATTTTGATCTTGAATGTCCACCTGAAAGTAGATCACCTGAAAGATTATTCACTTTCAAAGAAATGACTTTCTGATACTCTTCTTTGTCAACAACCTACTTATGTATAAGTCTTTCTATTATGACTAGTATGATAACCTTTCATTATTTCATAATTAAAGTATAATCTCTATTTACTTTCAGAGTAATGTTTATCAGGTAAACCCATTTTTAGTATTTGATTAATATCTTTTCCTGTCTCTGAAAATATGGATTGGAAGAAAACTCATTATAGCTTTTCCCAT